GGAGGTTCAAGTTATAACCATGGGGTGGTAGTGATACGCTTGAGCTCCTCTAGCTTCACAAGAGGAAAGGAGAATCAAAATCAAAAGCCAAGGGTCGATACCTTCGAGGTGGAGTCATTTGGTATGAGTTCAAAAGAGTGTAACTGTTACGGCCACACCAAGTCATTCACTGCACCAGAGACCACCCAGCAGTCCCTCAGAAGAAAGGCCTGGTGAACTCTCTCTGAAAACTTATCCACTGAGAACACTTGTGGGGCACAGTTCTACTCTAACACACACAGGGCACCATGAGTGGAATCTACTTATGAAACATCATCCACTGAGAACCCTGGGGGGCACAGTTCTACTTTGACACACATGGGGCACCATGAGTGGAATCTACTTATGAAACATCATCCACTGAGAACCCTGTGGACACAGTTCTACTCTGACACACACAGAAGCACCATGAGTGGGATCTACTTATGAAAACTCATCCACTGAGAACCCTGTGGGGCACAGTTCTACTCTGACACATACAGGACACCGTGAGTGGGATCTCCTTATGAAAAATCATCCACTGAGAACCCTGTGGGCACAGTTCTACTCTGACACACACGGGGCACCATGAGTGGGATCTACTTATGAAAAACCATCCACTGAGAACCCCGTGAGGCACACTTCTACTCTGACACACACGGGGGTGCCATGACTGGAATCTACTTATGACAAATCATCCTTGAGAACCCTATGGAGCACAGTTCTACTCTGACATACACAGGGACACCATGAGTGGGATCTACTTATGAAAAAGCATCCCTGAGAACCCTGTGGAGCACAGTTCTACTCTGCCACACACATGGGGGCACCGAGAGTTGGGATTGGCTCAACGGTAACTCACAACACCAACCATCCAACAGAAGTCATTGTCTAGACCTTCCTTCTCCATGGGTTTGAAGTTTCACCTTTGGGGTAGACCCCGTTAGCCGCTGGGCTGCTATCAACTGAGCTGGCGGTCAGTGGCATGATACTTCAAAGGATGGACCATCCACCAACCTGCTCAATCAAAGGGTGTGTTTCACGAACATAAGTCATGGGCTCAAACTAGGTAGTTTGAGACGTCACAAATATTAACATCTGTATTTACTGGAGGCATCCATAAAGAGTTTATTGCAATGTCGTACAAATAGTACATGCAGTGAAAATGAGCGGGCAAAGTGGTAAGGTGAAAAACAAATCTTAAGAGACAAAACTACAATTTTCCATCATTGATAGATACAACAATGAGTGACAATTCAGTCCCTCAGGAGCCATGGACCTGAATTTATTTACCTGGCTAAATCCAGCCCTCCTCTGCCTTGCTTTCCCTCTCTCCTGACTATTTTCTGGCTTTTCAATATGCCATAGCTTCCCATTCATGCTCTGTTCTCTCCCTGGCCTCGCTGTGTGCAGAAGCTGGGGGGATGGTGCCATCCCTCCCACCTCTTGCTTCCTTTGGGGGTTGGATTTGGGCCTTGTTGGATTTGGACTCTTTCAGTCTTGTGGAAAGTGTCACTGCTTCTATTTCTTCCTGACCCAAAGGTTTGTGGCAGGTAGAACTCTACAGAGTTGGAATACTTTTTCTTGCCAGTAAAATAAAAGGTTTCTCACCTTAAAACACACACACACACACACACACACACACACACACACAATGAATTGACATTCCATCCGTTTCATGTCACTTCTTATAACAACATATTAAAATTTAACTACGTCTTTGCTAGAATAGAAAAACAATATATCTCCTAAATAAATACAATAAAAGATGATTAATAATAGATACCCCAAGAGGCATTCCTGCTCCACAGGGCGTGGAAGGAGAGAGGCATTATGTGTTTCTCTGTGGTGTGCGGGAAACCGCATTTGAGGATTTCAGAATCATAACAAAGATGTGAAGACTGGCTTCCAAGGGTGCAAGGAGGCATTCAGTTAAACTGATCACTTGGTAAGCGTCAGTGAGGGATGAAGAGTTCACTGTGGGCGAACGCCACAGGCGAAGAGTGAGGAAACCCACCGAAAGCAGAGAATCAAGCTCCCAGGACGCACATGACATGACTGAAAATCCACGTGGGAGTGAGTCTGTTGGAGGTTTCCTTCCTGTTTACCAGGCAACTCGAGCTTTATGGGGAACCCTGGTGGCAAACTGGGTTACCGATGTGCTGGGCTGCTAATCTCAAGGTCAGCAGTTCAAACCCACCAGCTGCTCCATGGAAAAAAGATGAGGCTGTCTGCTCCTGTAAAGCGTTACAGCCTCGGAAACCATGTGCAGCAGCTCTCCTTTGCCTACGCGGCTGCTGGGAGTCATGGTGGCCGTGGTTAGGGGTCTTTATGGTTCAGTAGTGTTTTACTAAGGCATTTTCTTAGGGTAGATACACCAGTATAGAGAGCAGTGGCCGGCCCTCAGGGAGCTATAGACTGGAGACAGAGAGAGAACATGAAGATCCCAATTTACAGCAGGGAAGCCTCACAGGGCCTGATTATCCCCACAGCTTGGGGAGGCCTGGATGGGGGAGCCCCCAGTGGACAGGATGGAAATGACACCTCGATTTTCAGAATCCCCTGGACACCAGCCTCCCACTCCCCAGCAGCAATGAAAAAGACGAAGTCCCCAGGTGGTTCAAGTGGCTAAGCACTGGACTGGTCACCGAAAGGCTAGAGGTTCAAACTCACCCAGGGGCACCTCAAAAGGAGGCCTGGCATCCTTGTGGAGGGCTCTGCTTGTCATACAGGCATCTTGACTTGGAGCCGATTCCACAGCACCCACCACCAGAACAGGGCCTTGGTCTACCGTTGCGTGCTGTTGAGTGGGTTCCAACTCATAGTGACCCTGTATCGGCTTCCGAGGAGCACCTAGTGGGTTTGAACCACTGACCTTGCAGTTAGCACGCCAGTGCTGATCCTACAGTGAGTGCCACACCAGGCCTCAAAGCCTTGCATGATGCTGTGAACTTCTCAATTCCTTCCTTTGCACCAGCAGCGCCCTGGACACCAGGGTCTCCCCTGTGCCTGCTGGCCCTTCTGTTTGGCAGTGAGAGTGAAGGGCGGTAATTCACATGGGCACAGTCATGTGATCACCTCACAGCACCGGTTCTTGTCACTGTCATTCCACTTGAAGTAAGTGGGCTTTGTACAGGGTTCCATAGGTCGCCCTGGGATCACCAAGTTTCCTGTTTTCAAGTCAAACGTGTAGAGGAAGTGAACAGTCAGGGTCTGCTGTGAGTGGGGGACACGTCTGTGTTAGTCTGTAGGGGACACTGGCCCTTTCTGTGCCTAAGAAACATGAAACACTTCCACATACATGAAAACATCGTTAGCACGATACAGTAACAACAACCATGATACTAATGCAAAGCAAGTGCATTGGTTATTCGTAATTTCTTATTACGAACTAGTGCATGTATCTCAGGTGTTTGATGAAATATGCTTTACGGTGTTGGTTGCATGTATGGCAGATGTTGGTCATCCAAGGACTGCCTGGATTATGCTCCAAAAATGATTCCTGAAACCAATGAAATGTCCATCATCAGAAGAATGAATGGA